CGTTCAGCTTTATGAAGAAGTTCAGAAAGCTTTCTGTAAAAACCATTTTTCACTTCATCCAGGTTACAATCAGTGGGAGCGTAGGCAGAAACGACGAAAAGGCAACTACGTTTATCTCTATCCTTCCGAGTTCCTACGGAGCCGTTCAGCCAAACAGCACATAGACGACTGTTAACGGGGATCCATTCTAATAGTGTTTGTTCCACCCTCTTACTGAGTGCTATGCCTACACTTGACGGTCCATGAGAACGAGCCATCGGGTCGACAGAGACACGGAGGGTGTGTCTCGTCGGCTCTCCGTTTTGGCGAGGTGAGGTCAAGTGAGTGACCGCACTAGGATCCTGTATGGGTGTTTCGGAGACACAGCATTCACCAATGGTACGAGATTCTAGGGTTTTAGCCAAGGAGGCCTTCTGGCCGATTTCACACAGGGGACGTTAGTTAAAGGCTCCAACGTGTAGTTTGGAGCAAGGTTTCAATAGACTTGAGACAGTGTTTCGCGCACTAGAATCGCTGGCCATAGTGACACTTGAGGAGGAAGTCAAAAGAGGAAGTTGAAAGTCAAGGTAGGAGGAATAAGAGGAATCGAAGAGGGAAATTGATTATGAATACAGTGATCTTGAGTGCTATTAGAGGTATGAAGACGGTTATCACTTCCCGGTTGCCCACGCTGTGGAAGAGTTCTAGAGGTACCTGAAATTGAGATTGGGTAGGAGGTTGTCTTAGCAACCTGAGAGCTTGACTGCAGTGCCCAAGGGACAACTGCTTGAGGCCGGTTACACCTAACCTTTTTGTGAGTAATTGTTGTGTTAGCTCCGTACTTGTTGGGACCTTACCACCGGAGACGAAAATCCATGGGATAAGGCAAGTTGTGCATTTTTAGAGTCGACTTTTTCCAACACCACCCTTCCCTGTGGGAAGACAGCATTGCTGTTATACTGGTTGTCTGAAGGAAACATCTTACCTCTGTACAGTCAGCAGTACGACTGTTATATAAGTCCTTTTTAATACATCTTCATATTACAGCTCTCAAATTATTAATCTTAGTAAGTCCGGTGATACTGATGATCCCAGTAGGCCCCAGTGTAAAAACTTAGTTAGTGAGTGGAACAGATTTAAGAAAGACGAGCTGCCTTGAGAGATCAGTAGGTGTCGATTGAGTAAAGATGTTTGTGAATTGGTTGGTCAGAGAGAGCACCAACCAATTACGAATCCTTACAGTAAAAGTACTCATGAGTCCGTATTGCTACTGACCATGGTAGGGAATGAGGTACCAAACGTAGAACTAAGGTATCGTTATTAGGAACCAATGTCTTATCGGAAGTTTATGAGTTAGTTCGAAATCTACGCGGCTTTGAAGGTTGTTGATGATGGACGACTTTCATATCTCATGGATTGTTGTAGCAGGTCTGAGGAGTTATTGAGGGTTGCGTGATGTCGGGACCATCTGAAGACTATTGTCGACACCGCGAAATACTTAGGTGGCTGTTCAAACAGGTTCACAGTGTCTCATGAGATGAACAAAGACTTATTCAATGGAAGAAACGTGGATTATGACAATCCAGGAGCCCTATCAAATTTGCCTATTACAATGGAAAATCGTACTACGGAATTAGAAAAAATGAGCTACACAGTAGATTTGAACTCTTTTGGGGACTTTCGAAATGGGCCGAGTAAGCAGAAAAGCTCACTGATAATGACAGGAAACCTATTTTCTTAGAGAGTAGGGAGTTCATCTCACCACGTGCAAGTTGCTCAAAGCTGTTTTGGTCAGTTAGCAGCCTTTAATAGATGAATACATAACGCTAGGATGAATTGTTTTACACGATCAATTGAACCTAAATAGATCGAGGCTTATAAATCCCAATACGTCACATATTCGGGAAATAGTAAGGCCGTCAGTTGCTGGCTTTACCCTTGATTGCAGGTAAGAGCAAAGGGGTTTCGCTTTGTTTGTCTTAGACTAGGCCGTGGGTTTGGAGGACATGGATACAAAGACTGTAGTGCGTGCTACCATGGTGAAGGCCATCGCCGTTTTTCATCGTATCAAATGTTAATGTAGAGGGTTCGAAGGAGGAGAATATGACCGACAAGTGTCGCTGTCTCATCGAATCACTTCATGCAAATGTGAATTTGAGGTTAATATAAGTCTGAAGAACTGGCCACAGTTGGCTAACTTGCCATCGGGTAACTTTGGTAACGGAGAAGTCCTATTACTGGTTGATCGTGATGGGTCATAGGAACATTGGGTTTTGGAACAGCGGTTTGCAGAGTGAGGAAACTTGGGTGGCCAATCTTTGGAGCCCACGTTTTATTCGTAGTACGGTATGGGCATCATCTAAAATCATGTCCATCAATCCCAGTAAATGGAAGATCGGCAACATAGAATGTATTATATTGAGTTTGCTAACGTCTCCACATTATTCGCGTTGCTACTTCTCCATTTTCTAGAATTCTTTAGCTACTCTATTGGTCTAATCACGTAATGTGACAAAAATTGAGTAGACGTATTCCAACCAATATCCAGTGGCCGAAAACTGGCGCCACAAACTTATTACTAACAACTTTAGATGGAAAAAGAGGTGGATCAGAAACAGTTAACAATCTAGAAAGCAGGACAGAAGTTGACCTTTTGAGGTTGATACAGTTCGCTAACCGAAGGAAATATATTTTAGAATAGACGGAAACATTACCAAATAGTCAGTAAGTCATGAACAATGAAGGCACAGTACAGATGAAATTTCGATAGAGCAATGAGAAGACGGAGTTAATCTGAAAGATGAAATTACCCAAACGCAGTGCTTCTGAAGCACTGTTTATGTACTCAGTTTTGAGTTACACTGTGTGTATGATGACTAGTCATATTAACCGATTGCTTAAAGCGTAGTAGATTTAATGGTTTTAAGTAGTCTTCATATCACTAACTGGAAAACACTTAGGATCAAACAATGTACAAACCAACAATAAATATCATGGAAAAGAATAAACAATGCCGAAGAAGTTCACTTCGACAAATGAACAGACAGTAAAGGTAAACACGCACACAAAATAAAATGATCAATAGAAGAAATGGCAAAAATCGATGTTAATGGTTTAAGTGATGTTTACCAATATTCGAATATTCTACTGCTTTTTTAATTATTTTATGCATTAGTTTGTATAAAAAAGCAATGAAACCGTATTTACCAGTACTTTAAACAAAGACAAGAAGCCCTTATTCGACACTAACAATACTTAAACAATTCACTAGTGACACAACAGCAGTGATATTGAACCACGTAGCTTAATTCAACCGTCTGACTTATACTGACACAATGGTAAGAACAAGGTGAAAAAATTGGGACAAAACAATCAAGTTGACTACTTCTATTGATTTTGTTAAGATTCTCATTGGTCATCACAACATTGATTTGCGCACATGACTTTTTTCTTTCACGAAGAAATACCTAATTTTTTTCTTTTTATATTACGTGCTACATGACGACATGAACATACAACTCTACAAAACACCTGCATACTAAACTTACAATCTTTTTAATGCAAGTTAAAAGTAAAAGTTAATAATATTTACTTGAAATTAATATTGTTTAAATAGTATAATTCAGTATAAATATAGATTATTCATTTTTATATTAAAAGCTATGATAGCTAAGACTCTTTTATAATGTAATTGTGTACTAATTATGTAAATCACCAAATACAGACTCGCGTACTCGGCATCAAATCACATTTTATGCGTAGAGGCTATTGATACTAGTGTAGTGAACGAGAACTCAGGTGGTGATAACCGATTTATTGTTTAATGCAAGATCACACTGGCTTGGTGAAATAAGAAAAATATACATCAAAACACATCATTTACAAATCTTCTTTGAAATGTTTCTTACAAACTTCATCGTTCGTTCGCTCCTGTTGTTATTTTCATTGCTTCAGTTTTTTTTCTCTCCTCATTGTTTTCTTTCTTTTTCACTGAGAGTTCTACTTCCCATGCTTAATACATATTTATAATATATGTCCGCATAAATAAAACACACCGCACTACTACTCAGTTTCCCGAATCGAAGTAGGTAAAGCGGGACTCGAGCCCTTGGTCTGATATTTAGAAGTCGAACGCCACAGATTCACTAAACTATGGGCCGAAATATAAGGTGTGAAAACTAGTGACAACAGAATAATTGCCCGAATCGCAGATAAGGCACAATCCAAATGACGTATTATTAAATGTAAATCAAGTGGTGCCCAAGTCCATGGATCACAACGTTAAGTAACGGCGAAAAACCAATGAGTAGGTAAAAATATATTGCATATATTTATAAAACCACAATGGTAATGCGAACTAAAACAAAATATAAGCTGTGCTAATCACAATACTATTTTCAATTTAGGGAAGTCGAATACATTTTAATTAATAAATACAATTTAATACTACACATGAATAGATCACTCCTATTAAGTTGAAACCATACATAACCAAAATTTGTAAGCAAAAAACGTTAGTGAATGATTCTCAAGGTGAAATTAATTTTTGATACATTCTAACCAAGAACGAAATCGTAAAATGTAGAAAAAAGTAGTGCCTCAATAAATGGCATGAGTTTAAGAACAAGCAATGGGAATTGGATTAAAATTGTAATCAAGCAGTAGAGTTATTTCATTTTAGCCAAAACACGCGGTTTATTGATTGAATTCACTACCCTATAACTGGAAGTTTCCTTTCTATGCTACTGGACCACAACAAAATGTAGTCATAGGTAAGAAACTATCGTATGAAACCCAAGTAAGCAATGAAACGGATAACCCATCTTTCCTTTGAAACAGTCACGAAGATATGTAAAAAAAAGACGCTGCCAGTACGGAATATTCGTAAGCATAAAATGAGTCAGTAATTGATTTAAATATATACTAACGATAGCCATAGATGAACATATGTGGAAAGAATGGGGAGGAAATGGAACAAAACTAAATTTACTAAGGGTGAAAACTACAACTGAACTACTTGCCTTAGCTGCGCATCCAAGTTCACGTTCAAAGTCTTCGTCGATTAACCCATCTGGTGTCATACGACCAGATTCAAACAACTGTTCATCGGATGAAAACTCTATCAAATAGAGAAAGAATGTGTGTACAAAAACGCTATGTACGAAAGAATTTGTGCTTCCGATAGTACATGTGATCAGTCTTTACATAATCAAACGATTACTATTGATTATGAACTAACCTAATCCTATAAGGAGAGATAATCACATGTTTGTAGGTTAGATAACAACATTCTACAAAAACGACCCACAATAAGTAAATTTGAATTTTTCTACACGATATATAACATAGTAACAACATACGTAATAATGTACCAAATAAACCCAATTAATTTGCCGAGGTTCAGTGGCACGCAACTAGTTTCTTAAGCCAAGTTAACTGTAGCGGTGTTTAAAACAGCTTACAGTAGCATCTTTAGTGTTGAACCACAATTACAAGGTAAAATGACCAGTTATTCAAGATTCGAACGATACTCTATCCGTCTGTCAACAGTCTCTATTTTTACTCTTCGGTACAATCTGTTCAATATGAAAGCGAGAAAACGCTTTGTATATTATTATTGTCTAAAGTATCCACAGAAGGCCACATAAGTTACACAGACCTCTTCTAAAGATTACTTCATCTTGCAATAATGAAGTATTTTGTTAAACCATCCTTTCCTACGTATTAAAATGGTTTGGGTGCGCTATTTACACTTAATTTTCTTCTAACACGCGTTTTTGTGATGGACTTTATCATAAAATAAAAGCAATTTTAACCAGCTAGTCAAGAATAGTCTAGTTTTCCTTTTTTGTTTCATGTAAGTATACACACACACAAAAACCCCTTCTGATAATAAAAATATAATGAACAAATTTGGTAGACAGCTGGATCCAACATATAATCTGTATAATATTTTACGATTGTGGCGTTTACATGTAGTATAAATTTAATTAAAAGTTGAAAATTTGTATTTGGTCTAAAATGTCTACCAATAACTGCTCGCGCATAACAGAACAAACGAGTGAGGAATATCTTATGGTAATAAACAAAGATGGAAAGTCAATAGTTGGAACTATGAATCATCAAACGAGGTGCGTGAGATGTGTTCTGAAGCTTTAACTAGACGCAAAATAGTATTTAAGTATTTGAACGATGACGAAAGCCAACATTTTGGAGATTATAGTCAACAAACTGACTTCACCGTGGTTATCAAAAGAGGAATTCTATCCTCCTTCATAGACTGATGAGGCCAGAAAACGAGAGCATTCAGACAGAATTACGCTACATTCTAGGTCGTAGTTAGTATTAAAATGCCCTAGTACGGCCGAGAGTGTAGAGCGTCAGCTCTCCATCTCGAAATGCTCTCAAGTGGTCACGTGTATACAACCAGCTAGGGAAGTCCTACTCACTGCCTTCCCGTGGTGGGGGTGTTGTTTACCAAATTGAGAGAATGAAAACCGAATGTCCGGCGCTTGAACCAGGTTTGGTGGGTAAGGAGGGTCCACTTAGGGTAGTTGGAGAACCCCGATTCCAAACCAATAGTGAACATGAGCTCCAGAATCCTGAGAGAACAAGTGGCGTACGAACCAATCATTGGTCACCGGCTACCATGTGACTGCATCTGCTGACGTTGCTCCACTGCCTTGTGGATTAGATCTTTAGGTCGAAGGCTCCGGGTGTGGCCTCCTAAGAAAACCGCCTGCTTCTGTTTGAGCAACCGTGCAGTATTCTAGCCCTCACACAAATCAAATAATTTATGTGGCGCATATGTTTTTGGTGCCCCATTGTACCAATATTTGTGTTCAAATAAATAAAATGAAGTATAGCAGTAACTTATAACACCGGATGATCATTCTAAAAGACTCCTGGTGGAAACCTACCAGTCCAAATGATTCTTTTTCCACTGTTTCGGAGTGTTTAGAGGCCCTGATCCCTGCCCACAGTTGGAAAAACAGATTTCGACCTTCTTACCAAACCTCCATTTAGTACGATAAAGCCATACAGTTAGTGATAGCCAGTTTCAGATACCATCCCGGTTACCTGGTCTGAAAGCGAACGCTTATTTAAACGCATAAACACTGATACAAGGTGCCAAATATATATACGCCACACATGATTCGGTTGATGTGAGGGCTGCAATACTGCCCAGGAGCACAAACCGAAGCATGATGGCGCATCTTTCTTCAATAGTTTGACTAGCACTTAACTATGTGGTTCACGACCAACAGAAAAACTGGGAACTGGAGGTACGGAACAAAACCAAAAATCGGTGACAGAATCAGTACTCACAAAAAATCTAAAAAACCACTTGAATTTGAAAGCATCCAAGAATATGACGAACAAGTTTAAAAAACCTAAACATACCTCTTTCAGCAGCTAGTTCCAACTCAAACTCATCAAACTCCATCTCCGGGATTTCGAACTCGGAACAGGCGGAATGAACAGGCATATTATCATCGTATTTGCTGTTCCGCCTTGACGACTCGCCTACACTAGACGCCGTCTCTGCATCATTTAAAGCACTCCACGGTGCCTTTTGGGTGGTAAGGCCGTCGTCTGAAAAGATATTAGACTTTCTAACTGTATTATGACTATCAGTAGGAACGTTCCGTTTGTTCTCTGGGTATAACACACCTTCGCAAACAGTACTCGTCACTGCTGGGTCAGACTCCATTTTACGCAACCTACAAATCGTTCAAAAACGGGAAGAAATCTGATCATGAACATAAGAACAGTGTAAAAATTGAAATCATTTGTGATAAAATTTTATTAAAGACTTTTACAAACAGGAATCTAGACGACGTTTGGCAGCACCTAGTCGGTCAAGAGTCTGGTAGAGGTCAATTGCTTTGTCGTAAGTGCATCCCTCATATGGTAATCCCGCGGAAATATGTGATAAGTAGTTGATGTGTGAATTCATTTCCGTCTCTACTTCCTTAACAACTGTTCGGAAGTTATGTGTGCAACTTTCGACTTGTTTTACCGTTGGTTTATCTTTTGAAAGTTCTTCGAGAGCACTACCAGCGTGCTGAATAATTAGGCTTATCTTTCGCTCAACTTCATCGAGCTTGTTAAGGCGTGATTCAAGGGAAGCCTCGGCTTGACTATCTTTAGAAGTGCCTAACATAACTCAAGCAACCTTGTAGTTTAAACAGACCGGGATCGTCAGGTTATTACAAATGAATATGGAAGGGCCATTAGAAGAATCCATATACAATATATATCCAATATCTTTGTCACGAGCTTTTATGGACTGAACGAATTTTTGGGTTTTCCCCTTATTGTCTTGGTACGGTTTCAGGTCTTTAGTAATCCCCAATAGGTTTGTAGCGGTAAATAAATCCCCAAAATAAATAGCTCTGTAAGTTTTCGACATTGGATGCTGACCATATGTTTTAGTGGACTCATCTAGCTGAAGGCGCTCGGTCAGGCATCCGCACCAGATCACGTGTGGCAACGCCGTGCTCAACATCAACCACAATCGCTAGCCAGATTAGATCAGAGAATCCCGATATATTGGTCATCGCCAAATATACTCTTCCGATCTCCTCGACTCTGTCTTTTGATTTCTCTTGGTGGGAACGAAACATATTAGAAGGTGTTACTGGTAGAAGCGTTGTGAAACACTGAATACCTGTGACATCATCATTGGTGAGACCGTCGTGATCTGGTACACCTTATTGCAACTGTGAGTCTGTTCCTTTTTGGGATTTTTATATATCATTGCCTTATTTTTTATTTTTTTTAAACATTGTGATTTTTTTTCGTGTTTTTTCTTGGATATATATATATTTTCCCCTCGTTCATTATCGTACTTCATATTTCATCATGACTGAACAGACACCTAAAGTACTCAAGCTTAAGACCTTGTCCCCACCTTCGTTTCAACTGATGCCTTTCTGGCCCGACAACATCGAAGCCTGGTTTTGCTACGCAGAAGCCGACTTCTCCGAGCACGGCGTGATCGACACACGTGCACAATTCCTCGCAGTAGTCAAGGCACTACCGCGCGAATTCAACAGGTACGTAACACCTAGTATGTTTACTAGTGATGTTTCCGATCCTTACGAAATCTTAAAACGCTCGATTCTTAAACGAGGAGACCTAACCGATCGACAAAGGTTAGATCAACTCTTCAATAACATCGACCTGCAACACGGTTCTGCGACGGACATGTTGCAACGGATGAGAGAGGTTATAGGCCCAAGAACTTTCGACGAAGGTCTATTCAAACAACTCTTCTTGTCAAAACTTCCCCAACAGGTGCAAGCAGTTCTGGTCTCGTTCCAGAACAACGCCTTAGACGAACTAGCTGCATCTGCCGACCGCATTCTAGAAATTACGAAACCTTCTACTACCGAGGTATTTTCAGTCAAAGAAAAGCCTCACACGACTCAGAATGACATAACCGACTTATGTCACACACTCACGCGTTATCTTAGTCTTCGTACCGACCGTAAGAGATCGCGCACACCACGTAGAAGCATTTCTCGTAAGCGATCTGTCTCTAGACCACGAGAGACAGATAACCCCGACTGGTGCTGGTATCATAACCAGTATGGAAAGTTTTCCAGAAATTGCAGAAAACCCTGCAATTTTCCCAACACGAAACCGACTGATTCGAAAACAATTCGGGAAACTTCCAAGCCGGCACGCGTTAACGGCAACCGTAGCCGGCGAACAAAGCCGTCTGTTATTCGTCACAGATGTGACAACGAGAGTTCGCTACCTCGTCGACACTGGCGCAGAAGTTAGCGTTCTCCCAGCAAATCCTAACGACCGACTTCACGAATCGACCCTAAACTTACAGGCGGCAAACGGAAAACCGATCGCTACGTATGGCAAAAGGTACGTTTACCTTAACGTGGGTTTACGCAAACCCATCCACTGGATTTTCGTCGTTGCAGATGTTTCTATGCCAATCATTGGTATGGACCTTCTACAACACCACAATCTGATCATCGACACTCGCAAACGGAGGCTAGTAGACGGAAACACTAATTTGTCCGTTTGCGTAACTTCTTTTACTGGTTGTAGAGTATCCCCAGTCACAGTTAAACATATGATAGACCCACTCTATCAACCACTACTCGATAAGTACCCTGGGATACAACAAACTCAACCGAAACTACCGTGTGTAACCAGCAATGTTACACATCACATCACGACTACAGGACCACCTGTATTTCTAAAGCACGACGACTAGCTCCTGAAAAGCTAAGGTTAGCGAAAAACGAATTCGATCACATGATGGACTTAGGAATCATACGACCGTCAAGTAGCCCATATGCATCTCCGTTGCACATGGTCCCTAAAAAGGACAGCAACGATTGGCGTCCAACTGGTGACTATCGGCGATTGAACGCGAAAACCATTCCCGATCGTTACCCGTTGCCTCACATTCACGATTTGACAGCTACCTTGAAAGGTACAACTGTCTTTTCGAAAATCGACTTGGTTAAAGCGTATAACCAAATCCCTATGGCTACTGACGACATACCGAAAACAGCTATCATAACTCCCTTCGGACTCTATGAATTTTTGCGAATGCCTTTCGGTCTAAGGAATGCTGCTCAAACATTCCAAAGATTCATAGACGACGTTTTTCGAGGTCTCAACTTCGTACACGCGTATGTTGACGACTGTCTAATCGCAAGTCCGGACAGAGAAACACATCTCAAGCATCTGGACCTTGTTTTCGAACGATTACAAAAACATGGCATAACTGTAAACGTTCAGAAATGCCAATTTGGAACCGACTCGTTAGACTTTCTGGGACACACTATCGATGCTCAAGGTATCCGACCCCTTAGAACCAAAGTGGCGGCCATTCTGGATTACCCAGAACCGACCACCGTCAAGCAATTACGCACGTTCAACGGCCTGGTAAGTTTCTATAGACGTTTCATACCCAATGCGCATCACTTATGAAACCTCTGACCGACCAACTTCGTGGAAATGCGAAATCCATTAATTTGGACGACACCGCACGAAAAGCATTCTCCACAGTTAAGGAACTGATTGCTAAAGCAACAATGCTCGCACATCAGGACACCCGAGCACCCATTAGCATCGCAGTAGACGCATCCGACTCAGCAATCGGAGGAGTCTTACAACAATGGGTTAACAACTCCTGGCAACCCTTGGCATTTTTCTCTAGAAGGTTGCTAGACACCGAATCGAGGTACAGCACATTCGGTAGGGAACTCCTAGCTATGTATTGTGCTGTACGGCATTTCCAACACTATATCGAAGGCCGTGAATTCACTCTTTTCACGGACCATAAACCGCTCACTTTCTCGTTAAGCTCTCCTTCTGACAAGTACTCTCCCCGTGAGTCTCGACAACTGGACTACATTTCGCAGTTTACTTCAGATATTCAACACATCTCTGGAGCAAACAATGTAGTTGCAGACGCTTTATCTCGCATAACTTCCTTGAACAGTTTCCAAGGAATCGACCTTCTTAAACTCGCCGAGCTTCAAAAAGAAGACAGTGATCTTCAGCACGAGTTATCGTCCACAACACTTAAACTACGCATCAAACAGATGGGAACAGGTAAGGAAACCTTACTTTGTGACACATCTACAGGTAGGGATCGCCCAATCGTGCCGAAACATTATCGACGCAATGTCTTCAACACATTGCACAAACTTTCTCATCCAGGTGTTCGTGCAACCATCAAGCTTATAGCAGAACGATTTTGCTGGCCTGGCATGAATAAAGACGTGAGGGAGTGGGCACGCTCCTGTGTAAGCTGCCAAAAATCTAAGGTTATCAGACACAATAAATGTCCCTTAGGCTCGTTTAAAACTCCCGATGCTCGTTTCGACCATGTTCATCTGGATTTGGTAGGACCTTTACCAGATTCAAATGGATACTCTTATCTCTTAACCTGCGTAGACCGTTTCACTCGATGGCCAGAAGCAGTACCTATCAAGGACAGCACTGCTGAAACAGTGGCCCGCACATTCGTCGAACGATGGGTAGCAAACTTCGGTTGCCCTTCAACCATCACTACAGACCGCGGACGTCAGTTTGAATCTGATCTTTTCCGTCGTCTGACCACACTTTTAGGAATCACTCGCTTCCGAACGACCGCCTACCATCCACAAGCAAACGGGTTGGTAGAACGTTTTCACCGACAACTGAAAGCTTCGCTATCAGCTGCAAACGTTTCACAATGGACCGACGCTCTTCCACTCGTCTTACTAGGTATCCGCAATGCAGTGAAAGCTGACATTGGATACACTGCGGCTCAACTCGTTTATGGAACGACACTTCGACTTCCAGGAGAATTCGTGGATCCTTCGTGCTCTTCGATGAACATGGATCTAACCTCCTACACGAACAGGCTTACAAACGCAATGCGTTCAGTTAAACCTGCTTCCACTCGACCTCAATCAACTGATGTTTTCGTTCAACCTGACTTACGATATAGTACACACGTTTTCGTTCGTCGAGACTCGCATCGACGACCATTCGAATCAGCATACGAAGGACCCTTCAAAGTTCTTCAACGTGAATCTAAGTACTATATAGTCGATAAGAACGGAACCAACGATAGCATCAGCATCGATCGCTTAAAAGCAGCGTATTTAGAAGGAAATCCTATCCACGTCGATTTTCCTTCGGTACAATCGAACGACACGACTCAGACACTTATAATACCTC